GTCATTTCAGAAACACAATTTGATCTGAAGCCTTGTCAGATGTGTATACAGGTCTTCACACTCAGGAAACTTCTACCCTTAACTCTTTTTTGTGTGTGTTAGCTCCCACTGACAAATTTGTGTTCTAAACACTCTATTTTCCCTAGTGTTTTGAAATCACGCCCCATTCCAATTACGATGCTCCCCCCCTTTTTAAAAAAATATATTTTATTGATTTTTTTACAGAGAGGAAGGGAGAGGGATAGAGGGTTAGAAACCGATCAGCCTCCTGCACACCACTCCCTACTGGGGGATGTGCCGGCAACCAAGGTACATGCCCTTGACCAGAATCAAACCTGGGACCCTTGAGTCCACAGGCTGACGCTCTATCCACTGAGCCAAACCAGTCAGGGCACGATGCTCCCCTTTTACGTTTAAGTTTGAGTGTCAGGGTCTGCAGAGAGGGCCTGTGAGGACAGGCTAGCTAGCAGGACTCCAAGAACAGTTCTGAAGTAGATGTCTCCCGAGCAGCATGACTGCGTGCCACGTGGGGAGGGGATGCAGAGGCATTTCAAGGTGGTAAAGCTTCGTTTTGAGGGAACTTGATTCCTGTAGGCCTAGAAAAACTGTCCAAAATCATTATATTAACATAAGTAGGTCCTCCTTCTCTAAAGAGTCATTGAGTAAGAGCTCATCTTACCAATTCTGAAGTTGGCAATATGGATTGGAAGAAAGGGGGTAAGTTTTCACCACCCAAGTGTTCAGTTGTGTCTATTCATATAAAAAAAGATATGCATGACTATTAACAGATGTTATTTGCAATCAAGAAAATAGAAATAAAACATAAGCATGATAAAAATCCAAGTGTCTTGAAAGGAAGCCAATTAGCAAGGAAATCAACTCTTTTCTCTTTGATTCATTATAGCAATGAATTCTAATTTCTAAATTGTTGGTGCCTTTTCTGGTCTATGATTACTGGTACTGATAGGAACTCAAGTTGCTCAATATAGTTGATTACAAATAATTTAGATCGGATCTAACAGCATAAATAAAGAAAATGACATCATCCTTTGGATAGGAGACAATTCTGAAATCTTAGTTTATATATAGATGGTGAACAGTGAGCTGCAAGGATGGCTCTTATTTAGAAGGGACTTCAGAAGATCTCTGAACTCCTGAAAAGACACTGCAGCATTCCATTCTGGAAATTCTTGAGTTTTGTTGGGAGGAAAAAAAAAATCTCTCACAAATATTGCCAAGATTTTAATGAAGACAAGGTAGAAAAAAAATCCCTCACAAATATAGCCAAGATTTTAATGAAGACAAGGTAGAAAAAAAATCCCTCACAAATATAGCCAAACTTTAAATGAAGACAAGGTAGAAAATAAAAACGTTAAAATAAATGGGATGAGAACAAGGTTTTGCACTTTGAGAAGACTCTATGAGGGCCAATTCAGAGATAAATTCGGTCCCAAAGGATCTGAGAATCAGAATACTGGATTCCACCCAGTATTTATACAGTATTTTTATACTGTATTCAACTTTACTACTTGTGAGTTACTTTTCTATGGAGACTTGGTGCAACATAGACAGTAGGGTTACTTTGGACAAACCATTAAACATCTCTGCGCCTTTGTCCTTATCCCTTTTCTTGCTACACACAACTAGAGAAGGGAGATCATAATCTGTCCCTTAAACAAAGCTTGTAACACTGTGTCCCCTTCTACGCAGAGGGAATCACACAAATCAGTTTATGCATTGAGTCCGCTCTCTTGTTTTCTGTTTCCACACAGCACCTTCCTTCAGTTAGCCTAATTAACCTCCTGTAGGCAAATGTGGCAGTTGAGAGCTGGTCCGCAAGTCATTAGATTGGGGAGAACCACCCTAAAAAAACCAATATTCTAAGAAATATGAGGCATTTGTATTCTCCAGGGCCTGGCTCTGAGTCTAAACAAGGCAGACTGGACGCTATCATTTTTTTAGGCAAGTGACAGCTCTTTTCTCGTCTGTAAAATCGGGATAACATCTTATCGAGTAAACCTATACAAACAGAAAGGACTCCCAGAGACTGGGAAACTATCCTTTTGTTCACTCTATCCTTGTCTTTATTTTAGTTCTCAATAAAGTTTCAATTAGGCGGGGAGGAACCAGGCACCTTTTCTTCGGGACTCTAGATATTTAGGCATGATGTCGTTCACCTGCTTAAAGAAGAGACAAACCACCTCCACCTGCAAAAGCCCTTCAAACCCTCTGCCTCTCACGTCTCTAAGGATCCCACTTTGGCTCTGGCCCCAGGCGCCGCCTGGCGGCTGTTTCCGGAAGTCGCCTCTGGGCTTCGGGGTCCTGGCCGAGATGAGGCCTGCCCATGGGTTTGCCTGGAGAGACTCTGTCTCCGCCCCTAGCCGCCAGCCGCTAGCCGTAGAGGATTTTAAGGCGGCGATGAAGGGGCTGGGGTTAAGGCGAAGGAGGCGTCCGGCGACCTCTCCATTCCCTGAAGGATGGCGGAGTCAGGCGATCCTTGGGCAGCTGGCGACCCGGAAGTTGCCACCAGAGCGAGGTCCCGGTTGCTGAGCGCGGGCGCGAGGGGCCGGGCTTCCCGGAGACGGGGAAGAGGTCGCCGCGCCTCCCGTTCCTCAAGTTTTCCGATCCTTCGGGCACTGCTTAGCGGGCGTCGCGTTCGCCGGGCGGGTGGCCGCCGTCCCCGG